GATGGATTTGGCAGAAATTACATTTCCAGAAACTGCAACACTATCACTAAAATATCTTCACCATGAAATTCATCATACATTTCTATTATATTTTATAAAAACTTTTGAAGTTTTGCTTCTTATGTAAAAATCCTAGAAAATAGGTTAATGATAGCCAACATTGTCATGATTTGATCCATAGCTTTAGAACCAGTTTCCAGTCTTGGTGAAAATGGTGGAGGCATTTGAACCTTGCCCTTTTGAGTTCTTCTGGCAATGGTCATACGACCAAATCAAAGCAACTTGAGTTCTGTTTCTTTGTTCTTACAGAAACTGTCCCATTATTGTTTATCGTGAATCTACTCTTTCGATTTAGGACTATGTACTAGTACCACAGAACGGGAGACTCAAAATGCTCTGGAAGCAGGACCCAAGGATTCTACCTGGTTATAAATTTACTCTCCAAACAAACTGTATAACTAAATCTATGTGTGTAGAACTGACTGTTTAACCAGGAGATCTCTGAATTAATTTCCATGTAGGATACAATGTTTATTGAAGGAGAAGTAATGAAAATCTGCTAGTTTGAAGCTTATGTATATATATTAATAAAATTCAACAGTAATTGGAACAATTGTTTAGAATTTAACAAAATATTTTCTTCAGGAAACAGTATTTATCACTGACATTGTTTAGAATTTCCAGTGTAAAGTGATAATAAAAAAGAGACAGGCTTTTATTCAATTTATTATTGTTTTTAACTTCTATACAGGTAATACACTCTCTTATTGCCTACACACAGAGGACTGCCCCTACCATCCCATCCCTCTAATACTTTCCCAGGTAGAAAATTTGCTCATATATGAAAAATGATCATTTTTCCCTCCACCTTTTCAGTTCACACTTCTTACTTTTTAAAACACCCAATTGCATTAATTAGAACTTCCAGAAAAGTGATAAGGTGGGTGATACAGTGAGTATTGTTTTTTCCTGCTTTTAATGGAATATCTAGTGTTCATCATCAATATTGGCAGTTGGTTTTATTTAAACATACGCCATCAAATTAAGAAAGAATCTTTCTTGTTCTTTTTTTCTGTGTATGTGAAATGATTCCCCCCTCATTGAGTTAATTAACATATCAGTCATCTCACATATTTACCCCTTCTTTTAGTAAAAATATTTAAGTTCTACTCTCTTAGCAAATTTCAATTATACAATACAATGTTATCAGCTATTGTCACCATGTTATATGTTAGATCCTCAGACCTTATTCATCTTATAACTGAAAGTTTGTACCTTTTTTCCAACCTCTCTCTATTTCCTCACCTTCCAGTCGCTGGCAACCACTTTTTCTACTATTTCTATGAGACTGACTTTTGTTGTTGTTGTTCCACATGTAAGTGATACTATGCAGTATTTATCTTTCTCTGTCTGACTTATTTCACTTAGCATAACACCCTCCATATTCATCCATGTTGTCAGAAATGCCAGGATTTCCTTCTTTCTTAAGGCTGAATAATATTCCATTATATATTATTGGAATAATATTAATAATAACACTAATAGAATAATATTCCATTATATATATATCACATATGTATATATCACATTTTCTTGATCCATTCATCCATTAATGGATACTTAGGTTGTTTCCATACCTGGGCTATTGTGAATAATGCTGCAATGGACACGAGAGTATAGATATTTCTTTGAGATAATGGTTTCATTTCCTTTAGATATATCCCTAGAAGTGGGATTGCTGGATCATATAGTAGTTCCGTTTTTAATATCCTGTGGAACCTCCATAGTGTTTTCCATAGTGGCTGTACCAGTTTACATTCCCACTAACAGTGTACAATTGTTCCCTTTTCTCGACATCTTCGCCAGCATTTGTTATCTCTTGTCTTTTTGATAATAGCCATCCTAACAGGTGTGAGGTGATATCTCATTGTGGTTTTGATTTGCATTTCCCTGATGACTGGTGATGATGAGCACTTTTTCATATCCTGTTGACCATTCGTATATCTTCTTTGGAAAATGTCTATCCTCTGCCCAATTTTTAATTGAGTTATTTAATTTTTTGCTATTGAGTTGTATGAGTTCCTTATATAATTTTAATATTAACCCATTATCATATATATGACTTGCAAATATTTTCTTCCATTCTATAGATTGCCTTTCCATTTTGTTGATGGTTTCCTTTGCTAACCACAAGCTTTTTAGTTTAATGTAGTCCCACTTGCTTATTTTTGCTTTTGTGACCTTTGCTTTTGATGTCAAATCCAGAAAATCATTGCCAAAATCAATGTCAAGAAGTTCATCTGCTATATTTTCTTCTAGGAGTTTCACAATTTCAGGTCTAACATTCAAGTCTTCAATCTGTTTTGAGACGATTTTTGTGTATGGTGTAACATAGGGATCCAGTTTTATTCTTTTGCATGTGGCTGTCCAGTTTTACCAACACTATTTATTGAAGAGACTGTCCTTTCCCCATTGTATATCTTTGCCTCCTTTGTTGAAAATCAATTGACCATATATGCATGGGTTTATTTCTGGGCTCTCTATTCTATTCCATTGATCTATGTGTCTGTATTTATTCCAATACTCTATTGTTTTGATTCCTATAGCTTTGTAATATAGTTTGAAATCAGGACATATGATGCCTCCAGATTGTCCTTGTTTCTCAAGATTGCTTTAGATAATCAGGCTCTTTTGTGGTTCCATATAAATTATAGGGTTGTTTTTCTATTTCTGTGAAAAATGCCATTGGAATTTTTATAAGAATTGCGTTGAATCTGTAGATTGTTTAGGGTAGTATGGACATTTTAACAATATTAATTCTTCCAACCTATGAGCACAGAATATTTTTCCATTTATTTGTGTCGTCTTCAATTTGCTTCATCAATGTTTTACAGTTTTCAATGTATAGATATTTCACCTCCTTGGTTAAATTTATTCCTAAGCATTTTACTTTTTTATGCTATTGTAAATTTTCTTAATTTCTCTTTCTGATAGTTTGTTGTTACAGTGTATAGAAACACAGATGATTTTTATATATTTATTTTGTATCCTGCAACTTGATTGAATAGGTTTATTAGTTCTAGTTTTTTGGTGGAGTCTTTAGAGTTTTCTACATATAATGTGTTATCTGCAAATAGAGACAGTTTTACATCTTCCTTTCCAATTTGGATGCCTTTTATTTCTTTTTCTTGCCTAATTGCTCTGGCTAGGACTACTGATACTATGTTGAATACAAGTGGTAAAAGTAAGCATCCTTGTCTTGTTCCTGATCTTAGAGGAAAAGCTTTGAGCTTTTCACCATTGAGTATGATATTAGCTGTGGGTTTGTCAACATGGCCTTTATTATGTTGAGGTGTGTTACCTCCCTACCCACTTTGTTGCGAGTTTTTAGCATGAATAGATGTTGAATTTTGTCAAATGCTCTTTCTATATCTATTGAGATGATCATATGATTTTTATCCTCCATTTTATTAATGTGGTATATCATACTGATTGATTTATGGATGTTGAACCATCTTTGCATCCTCAGAATAAATTCCGCTTGATCATGGTGTATGATCCTTTTAATGTATTGTTGAGTTAGTGTGCTAATAGTTTGTGGAGGATTTTTGCATCTATGTTCATTGGGGGATATTAGCCTGTCATTTTTCTTTTCTTGTAGTGTCTTTGTTTGGCTTTGGTATCAGGGTAATGCTGGCCTCATAAAATGAGTTTGGAACTGTTGCCTCCTCTTCAATTTTTTGGAAGAGTTTGAGAAGGATTGGTATTAATTCTCCTTTATATGTTCGGTAGAATTCACCAGTGAAGCCATCTGGTCCTGGATTTTTCTTTGTTGGGAGGTTTTTGATTACTGATTCAATCTCTTTACTAGTAATTGATCTGTTCAGGTTTTCTATTGCTTCATGCTTCAGTCTTGGTAGGCTGTATGTTTCCAGGAATTTATCCACTTCTTCTAGGTTTTCCAAGATTCTTTGCGGTATCAATTGTAATGTCTTCTCTTTCATTTCTAATTTTATTTATTTGAGTTCTCTCTTTTTTCTTGGTAAGCCTCACTATAGGTTTGTCTATTTTGTTTATCTTTTTGAAAAACCAGCTCTTAGTTTCATTGATCTTTTCTATTTGTCTTTTTAGTCTCTATTTCATTCATTTCTACTCTGATCTCTGTTATTTCCTTCCTTCTACTAATTTTGGGCTTAGTTTGTTCTTTTTTTAGTACCTTCTGGTGTAAAGTTAGGTTGTTTATTTGTGATCTTTCTTTTTTCTTAATGTAGGCATTTATCACTATGAACTTCCCTCTTAGAACTGATTTTGCTGCATCTCAGAAGTTTGGTAAGAGGTATTTCCATTTTCATTTGTCTCAAGATACTTTTTTATTTCACTTTTGATTTCTTCCTTGACCAACCCATTGATTTTTCAGTAGCACATGATTTAATCTCTTCATATTTGTGAATTTTCCAGTTTTCTCCCTGTAATTGATTTCTGGTTTCATACCATTGTGGTTGGAAAAGATACTTGATATGACTTCAATCTTCTTAAATTTATTAATATTTGTTCTGTGGCCTAACATATGAGCTATCCTGGAGAATGTTCAATGTGCACTTGAGAGGCATGTGTATTCTGCTGTTTTTGCATAGAATGTTCTGTAAATGTCTGTTAAGACCGTCTAGTCTAATGTGGTCAAAGGTGGCACCAGAGCCAGGTGATCAAGGGATGCTTTCCCTGTGTGGCAGCCACAAAAGCTGTGGTATCAGTTGTGTGTACAAGCTACTTCCAGGGAGATATTGGCGATTTGGAGTGAGCTTCAGGAAGAATGCAGAGATAGTGTCTGCTGGCTTCCCTGTTCTCAGGGAAGGTTCACAGTCAGCCTCTACATGTGTGGTAAATTAGAGGCATGACCCTCAGGCAGCAGCCTTTAAAGTATGCAAATAGGCCTCTTTCAAGGGAAGACTGGGAGGTGGGCATTTCTGTCTGCTCCCTCTGTGCTGAGCCCTGGAGGGGATAGCCACAGTGAGTCCTCATGAGCCTGTTAAGAACTCTTTCTTTATTTGCTACAGTCTTTTGGGTCTCTGTGGATGCAAGCCCCACTGGCTTTTAGAGATAGATGTTTTGGGGGCCTGTCCCTCAGGTGGAAGTCTTATGGAAGTCTTAAAAATTGTGGTGCTAGATGCTGGGTCCAAACCCTTTGCTCCTCAGGGAGAAGCTGAGAATTATGAGTTCCCTCCAAATTATATGTCGCTGTGCCAGGGGTGATATTTATGGTAAGAGTGTGTCTCATTATTTCCTACCCATTTCAATGTGAGTATTTTCTCCTTTGTCCAACGTATAGGAGTCACTCAGCTAGTTTCTAGATTTCTTTCAGAAGGAATTGATCCATGTATAGCTATAGACTGGGTGTGTCCATGGGAGGAGGTGAGTTCAGGAGCCTCCTATGTTGCTATCTTGGACTGGAATCTCCAGGAAAACACTCCTTGATGTGTGTCTTGGCAATGGTTTTATGGGTATGACACCAAAAGCACAGGCAACAAAAGCAAAAGTAAACATGTGCAACTACATAAAACTAAAAAACTTCTGCACAGCAAGGGAAACCATCAACAAAATGAAAAGGGAACCTACAGAATGGGAGAAAATATTTGCGACTATACATCTGATAATGTTACCGAGCAAGGGTTCACTGCTTGATGTGCATAGAAGGCAATATTATGGCATTGGCTTTTGAGAAAAGAGAAAAGTTTTATTGCAGGGTCAGCCAGCAAGGAGACAGGAGGCAAGGCTCTGAAATCTGTCTCCCCCATCCAGGGTTTGGGGTAAAATTTAAGGGATTAGGGAGGGCAGGCTGGTATGCCAAAGCACTGGCAGGACAGATTTTGATTGGAAGGATTTTAAACAAGACCATTTATGGTAAGGTATGAAAAGGGGCTTTAACATCAGATCTTCCTATACAACGGACCCCTCACCTCTGAAAAGTTTCCAGCTTTCGAGTTCTGGTTGTGTCTCGGTCCCTTGGTTCATGCGGTGGCTGTGGGGCGGCAGGGAGGGATGCTGTGCTGTTACTTCAGATCAAAATTTTCTCCTCTGCACATGCTTCAGCTCCATGACTTGCAGTTTTAGCTCACCATCTCTACAAGATAACTTTGACATTCTGTTATTGATAAGATAAGGCCAGTTTGAACTAGTCCTGTGGTTACAATAAGGGGTTATTTTTATATATAATTTTTATATAAGTTTTTATATATCCAAAATATATAATGAACTCCTAAACCCACTAGCAAAAAAAAAAAAAAAGAAAAAAAAAAAACACCAAATAACCAGATTTTAAAAATGAGCAAAAGATATGAATAGGCATTTCTCCAAAGAAGACGTACAAATGGCCAACAGATTTATAAAAAGTTGTTCAACATCACTAATCATCAGAGAAATGCAAATCAAGACCATAATCAGATATCACCTCACCCCTGCTAGGACGGCTTTTATTAAAAAAAAAAAAAAAAGATATGTGTTGGTGAGAATCTGAAGAAAAGGAAACCCTTGTACACTGAGGGTGGAAGTGTAAATTGGTATAGCCATTATGGAAAATAGTATTGAGACCCCTCAAAAAGTTAAAAATAGAACTACCATATGATCCAACAATCTCACTTCTGAATATTTATTCACAGGAATTGAAATCAGAATCTCAAAGAGATACCTGCACTCCCATGTTCATTGCAGCATTATACACAACAGCCAAGCTATGGCGATAATCTGAATGTCTATTGACAAATAAATAGGGAAGAAAATGTGGTATACATATACTGCTATAGATGGAATGTTTGTATCCCCCCCCACAAAATTCATATGTGGAAATCCTAACCCTCACGGTGATGGTATTAGGAAGTAGAGCCCTTGGCGTGTGATTAGGTCATGAGGGTAGAGCCCTCATAGACGGGATTAGTTTAGTGTCCTTATGAGAGAGGACTAAGAAAACTGCCTTTACACTTCCACCATGTGAGGATGCAGTGAAAATACACCAGCTATGAACCAGGAAGTGTATCCTAACTAGACATTGGATCTGCCAGCATGGACTTCCCAGCCTCCACAATGTGAGAAATAAATTTCTGTTGTTTATAAGCTACCCAGTCTCTGGTATTTTGTTATAGCAGCCTGAATAGACCAAGATACATACAATGGAATATTATTCAGCCTTAAAAAAGAAGGAAATCTTGCCATTGGTGACAACATGGATGGACCTGGAGGAAATTATGCCAAGTGAAATAAGTCAGACAGAGAAAGACAAATACTGTATGATCTCACTTATATGTGGAATAGTCAAAGAAGCAGAGAATAGAATGGTAGTTTCCAGCGGCTGGGAGAGGAGGGAATGGGGAGGTGATGGTCAAAGGGTACAAAGCTTCAGTTATGCAAGAAAAATAAGTTCTGGAGATTTACTATACAGCATTGTGCCTATAACTAACAATATTGTATTGTATATTTAAAATTTGCTAAGAGAGTAGATCTTATAAGTGTTCTTACCACATGTACACACACACAAAATAATAATAATGGGTGTGGGAGGAATCTTTGGGATGTGATGGATATGTCTATGGCCTTAATGGTATGACAGTTTCACAACAGTACACTTATTTCCAAGCTCGGGTTCTATACATTAAATACGTACAGCTTTTACATGTCAAACACACCTCAAAAAAATGGTTTTTCAAAATACAAGGTAGTGACTTAAAACAACAACTACCATTTTATTATCTCTCTTGGTTCCTGTGGGTCAGCAATGGCTTGGCTCTATGCTTCTGGAGTCTCATGCAATTGTACTTGGATGATGGCTGAGCTGGAACATCAGGGAACTAGAGCAGCTGAGAGCTGGCCAGACACTCATACAGTCTTCTCTTCATGGAGTCTTAGGGCCTCTCTATGTGATCTCTCCACATAGGCTCATTTGGGCTTCCTCACAGTATGGCACCTCAGTGCAGTTGGACTGCTTACATGACAACTGAAGTCTAAAAGAGTGAGTATTCCAGAAATCCAGGTTGAAGCTGCATTGCCATTTATAACCTGCCTAGGAAGTCATGCAGCACACAAGCCCATATAGATTCAAAGAAAGGAAAACTAGACTTCATGTATCGATGGGTCATTGGCAAAGTCACATTGTAGAAGAGCATGTAGGATTTGGATGGGGGTTGCAATCCAATTTGGAGAGAATTGATAGCTAAACAATATTATGTGTTTTGATCCATGAACATGGTATATTTCTCCATTCATTTTGATATTTACAATTTTTTTATCTTCAATATTTTGTAGTTTTCAGTGGAGAGATCTTGAACACCTTCTGTTATATTTATTTCTAAGTATTTGATGATTTTGATGCTGTTGTACATAGTGTTTTTACTTCACCCTAATTCTTTATTGCTTGTACATAGAAATTAACTGATTTTTATATTGACCTTGTATTCTGCCCCCTTGCTAAAGTCACTTATTAATTCTAATTGTTTTTACATTCTATTTAACTTTATACATTTGCAATGCTGTCATTTACAAATAATGAAAGATAATGAAAATTTTACTTCTTTCATCCCAAGCTTTATACTTCACCCCCCATCCCCATCCCCCCACTCCCCAGCTAAGACTTCAAGTGCTATGTTGAATAGAAATGGTGACAGTGGACATCCTTGCCCTGTTCTCAACTCAGAAGGAAATCACTCATTATTTCACCATTAATTATAATACAAGCTGTAGGTTTTCTGAGATACTCTTGAACCAGATTAAGGAAGTTCCTTTCTATTCCTTTGATGAGAGTTTTATCACAAATCTATATTCAATTTTATCTAATTCTTTTTCTTCATCTATTGAAATTTATTTTTTTCTCTGTTTTGTTAATACATGAATTTCATTGATTTTTGCAATATTTAACCAAACTTACATTTCTGGAATACATCCCATTTAGTCATGATGTAGTATCTTTTAAAATATATTTTCTGAGTTCTGGTTACTAAAATTTTATTTAGAAGTTTATCTATTTTTTTGAGAGATATTGGCCTATGACCAGCATAATTATTAATAGTGCTCCCTTTCACTCTAAATAGGATAAATTAAATGATCAACCTAATAAATACTATGTCTTCTTGCATTTTATTGAAGTTGTAACCTTCCTGAATTTTTCTTCTGGGTCTACAACAGATTGTTTCAAAGAGTCTTCAGAATTATATTCTCTCTTCCTTGTTCTATAGGATTTTCTACATGTGCCCAGCTTTGAGGTGTAACCAATAGGATTTGTTTTTTTTCTCGTCTCCAATTAAGATGAAGTCTTTCCAGACTAGGTGTTCGTAATCAGTGAGTGTAAGCATATTGCCACACTGTCAGTCCACTGTGTGACTGACGAGCATCTCCTTTTCAGACCTGGAGTACAAGTTGACATGCATAGTGTCCAGACCAATTTTCAGTTTCTAACAGGCATGCACCTAACATGGCTTCATTCTACTGAGGTAGCACATTCCCCCACCTAATTCTCTATTCCTCTGACCCACGGAGTCACCTGCAAAACTGCAATTGATAGTGTGTACTGCCATTAGGGATCTTCCTGTCCCCACCCCTGCCTGGAGTGTTTAACTTGTAAACATTGCATCTCCCAGGATAAAGTACAAAATTGTTGGTTCTCCTTCCTCCCACCCCTCCCACCCCACGCACACACACTTCCTGACCAGTTATTTCCTGGGAGGTGCTTCCTCCAAATAGGTGTAGTATTAGCACCCTCAAAAAGCAGTACTTCCTTGGCATATGGGCACCCACCTCCTCTTCTACTTGGTACAGACCTTGGACCTCTGTATCTGTAACAAAAAGTAGGGCAACTGGCTTCCAATTGACCTCTACTGCATGAGACATAAGCTGGATAGGTTTGTACCAATCCAATGTATCCCACTTTATAATTTATGAAAATGCCTCCTAGAATCTGGTTAAGCCATTGATTGGGTTAAAGTTTCTAGTGTTCTTTTGACTTCTTGTCTTTTTCTTTGTTTTCATAAATAT